TCCATATATGAGTGAGTACATACCATGTTTGTCTTTTTGCGACTGGGTTACCTCGAATGCCCATTCCTGATAATGAACTTGATGTCTATAACTATCCGGGAGCCTTCATCCTGGGACTGATGGAAGCAGAGGCAAACACACAACTAAGCACTGAACTGAACCCAAGGAACCCAGTGACAGAGAGAGAGGAATGATGAGCAAATTGGCAAAGAATGGGCTGGCAAAACCAGCAGAGACAGCTGATCTGAACAGGGGAGTGCTCTTGGACCCCAGACCGACAGTGGGGAGGCCAGAATGGGACTGATCTGGACCCCCCCAAATGTGAGTGTCAGTGAGAAGGCCTGGACAACCTATGGGGCTCTGAGCTGTGGATCAATGTCTATCCCTGGTATACAATCTGTCTTCATGTGCCTATAGCACAAAGAGAGATGCTCTCTCAGCCTGGACTCTTAGGGGAGTGCCTTGACCCTACCAAGAGTAAAATGATAGACTCTAGACATCCCCTATGTGGAAGGATTTGGCAATAGGGTGGGAGGGAGGGTGGAAGGGGAGTGCGGGAGGAGGGGAGGGAGAGGGAACTGGGATTGACATGTAAAACAAGCTATTTAAAATAAAAAAAAAATGAAAAGCAAAAAAAAATCCAATAACATAAATAATGTCAGAACTTCCAAGATCTTTCTAAAATGGATAGAGTGGAATATAAAATGGGTTCACAGAGTTATAAAAAGTTAATTCCATGAAAAGGAGCAAAGTCAATAATTACATATAGTTTTCACACTAAAGGTAAGTGTAAAGAGAAGCCTTTTCCTTGAGAGAAGCCTGGTTCTAGAGCCGCATCAGTCCCAAATAAACACACAGGAGGCTATATTAATTGTGAAGCTGTTGGCCTTGCTTGTTTCTTACTGGCTAGCTCTGACTTAAGTATTTACCCCATAATTGTTAACCTAAGTATTTCTCTTACTGGAGAATAGTTCCGGGCTTCCTACCCCATGGGGTTACATCTTGACTCTCTGTGTTTCTCCTTCCCAGAGTCCTCCTGGACTCCTAGTCCCGCCTATCTAGATTCCTATTGGCCAGAAGTGCTTTATTGACATAGGACTTCCCCAACATCTCCTCCTTTCTGTTTAAACAAAAAGAAACGTCTTAACTTTAACACAGTCAAATTGTATATAACAGAACAGTTATCAAATAAGAACATAGTTACAATATTTTAGCAAGATTTAAAGAAAATATCATCCATCCCATCCTTGTGAGTCCAAAGTTCTATATGTAGCTTATCTTTTATCATAACTAAGGGAAACTATAATTATAACTATCTTCAACTCCATCAAAGACCACAGAAGGATAATATATGAACACTAGAAATGACAGAGACATCTTGCCACCTGGACAGTCACCCGAAGTTCCTCGGTAATGTTGGGGCATCCATCCTCAGCCCATAGGCCACAGTGTGCCTGGAACAGTTCTCAGAAAAGCAGGAAATTTCAGACTGTCCATCTGCATCAGCAGTCTGTCACTCATTTTTCTGTGTCCTCAGAAAGTCTCGTAGACTCTTCCATGAAGCAGGAACCCTGTAAGACTGAGTTCAGCAGTCACTTTCCTGTGGGTCCTGCATGTCCAGATTATACAACAACAGTCAAGCAGTACAGGCAAGAGCAGTTTCTTGCCCAAATGGCTAATCTTGCCATGTTGAAAGCAAACTCCATAATGAGTTTCTTCAATGCCCATCTTCCTCTCAGACGTAATTGGTGCTGCCAGGAACAGACATTTCTCATTATCAAGAAGAACCCTAAACCATTTTAAATGCCATTTTCTGAAGGTCTTTGAAAGGTTTGAAGACTATCTCAAACATATTTCTGTATATCTAGAAAACCTAACTTACCTAAAAATAAGATCTGACTATTATAAGTAACTATCTATAGCCTGTATTTAATTGTGCATTACATTTTAAAAGATCAGTATAAGCACAATACTTAATCAAGAGGAGAAATATACACATCACAAAATTGACCTTGAATTTGTATCAATAAATGAAAAGCCATACCCATACCATAATTCCCCTTTTTACCATTAAAAAAGAGATTGGCTGTGATCACTAGCTAATTATAAACAACCCCATTTAAATGAAAACAAAGATTTATAAACAAGATGGGAATTAGGACTTCGCTCATTCCAAACTGCTTCATGCTGGAAGGGGGCACTGTTTATACCATGGGGATCATGACAAAACTCAGAAACCTGTATAAGTCCTTATTTTCGTGGTCTGTAAAGCTGCATCATCTTAGCTGTTTCAGTTGTTGAACATCTGGTCCACTGCTTCCGGGGGTCTTGGTTCGTCAAACTACAGAAGGCTGGAAGGAATCCTCAGCTTTTCATTTTCTGTTGAAACATAAACTAAAACTCCTTTTCCGAGTAACATATCCTTATACTTAAATTTTGAAGTCAAGACATTTTCAAAAGATATAAGTTGAATTAATTCAGCAGCATTTATAATCAAGTATACTTTAGCAGTTGTTCCTTCCTGAGCAATCAAAAAACTGAAAAACACAATAATGTACAGTATCCAGACTCTCTGTGTATTTTCCAATTTATATGACTTATTTATTTATCTATTATTACTTTATTTATTTTACTTTTATTTATTTTTCTCTGAGACAGGGTTTCTCTTTGGAAATCTGCCTGCCTCTGCCTCTGCCTCTGGAGTAATTCCTACCGGTGTGCGCCACAACACTATTTACCACTATGGGTTTCCTTTTCTCTCTCAATCTTATGTATGTTTTTAAACACACTGTAAACCTTTAGAGGTTTTGTTCATCCAAGTCTGACTTTACTGTAAATCTTTACGTTTTTCTGGCCACGTGTCTTATCTGTTAAAACCGCGGCTGTTTTAAACTGCCATTTCCAAGATGGCGGGTGTAAGTGTGACTCCAGCTGCCGGCTTGGAGATGTGGTCGCTGCCACTTCCAGCTGTACATACAATTTTTAAATCGTTAGTAAAGCCTCTTACAAGAACCTTGCTTTTTTTTTTATGCTCAGTCAGGATTACTGCCTTAAGCAAGCCGTGAGTCTCTGCTTCCTGCTAGCAAAACAGAGCCCACCTGAGAAAATGCTGCTACCAAAAATCTGTGCTTCTCTGTTCTTCTGTTTCTAAAATTCTTTTAAAGCTTTTGTCATTCTACGTGGAAATTCAATCCCGCTCTAACACCATTTGTAAAGAGAAGCCTTTTCCTTGAGAGAAGCCTGGTTCTAGAGCCGCATCAGTCCCAAATAAACACACAGGAGGCTATATTAATTGTGAAGCTGTTGGCCTTGCTTGTTTCTTACTGGCTAGCTCTGACTTAAGTATTTACCCCATAATTGTTAATCTAAGTATATCTCTTACTGGAGAATAGTTCCGGGCTTCCTACTCCATGGGGTTACATCTTGACTCTCTGTGTTTCTCCTTCCCAGAGTCCTCCTGGACTCCTAGTCCCGCCTATCTAGATTCCTATTGGCCAGAAGTGCTTTATTGACACAGGACTTCCCCAACAGGTAAGTCTTTAGAATAAAGATAAATATATAAAGAAGTGAAGTGAAATGCTAGTTACAGCAGGGATTCCTTGAAGGAAAGGCTAGTTATGGGTAAAAGAAAGAAGAAATGCAAAATGAAACAGTTCTTAGACAGTTTTATTATATAGGCTAGAATAACTAGTCTCAAACTCACAGTCCTCCCACTTCAGTCTCCAAGTCTGGGATTGCAGAGTGCAACATCATGCTTTAAAGATTATTTATTGATTGAGACAGAGTCTCACTGTATTGTCCAGTCTTGTCTGGAAGGCTTAAGGTCAAGTGATGTTTTTACCATCTCACTTTCCCCAGTAGCTGATTTTTGCCATAGAACCTGACTCACAGTAGATTTTTTTGTTTGCTTGTTTTTGCCTTCGTTTCGACATGAAGTATCTTAATAAATACACATCATGATATTTTGAGAAAGTTAATATTATTCTTTATCTTTGTTCTAGTTTTGAGAAAACTGAGATTCATGTAGCTTAAATATATGTTAGAAAATGATTCTAAAAATTTATTTTGGCTGTGTGGTGGTGATGCACGCCTTTAATCCCTGAACTTGGGAGGCAGAGGCAGGCGGATCTCTGTGAATTTGAGACCAGCCTGGTCTACAAGAGCTAGTTCCAGGACAGCCTTCAAAGCCACTGAGAAACCCTGTCTCACCCCCTAATAGTAATTCATTTTGAATATATATATATAGTTTTCTTCTTGGCAAAACTGTCCTATCTGTCAAAAAACTGCCATTGCCTCTACTGCTGACAATAAGCACTTTGTCTAATCTGAACAAGCAGGATGCAAGGAAAAGTGACTGCTTAGCCTAGCCAATACAGGGTATGATAGTCTTTCAAATTTCCTGCTTCTAAAAATGGTTTGTCAGATAATCTAAGGCCTATAGCCAATGTTGGATGCCCCGATGCTACAGAGAAACATTGGGTGACTGTCTAGGCAGCTAGCTGTTTCTGTCATTTCTTGCATCTTTTGGAAGTCATCTGCTTGCACTTCCTCTTACTCAGTTAATATTATTTTCCTTCTCAGGTCTTTCATTGGGTTGAAGATTAGATAGTTACAGTTACAATCCTCTTGTATCTTATCTAGGACATATTAAGTATAAGACTTAGACTTTCCAGGATAGGACAACTATTGGAATATCATGCCAATTACCCATGGCATGATAAACTGTAGGGGAAGGATCTCTTGGGTGGTCGGAACAGGTTAAGCAGCTTGCTCTTCACCTCAGGACAGAACAGCTTGATGAAGGGAGCTTGAACAGCAATGGTGTCTATCTTGTTCTGTGTTAGTGCTTACCCCTATTTTATGCCTAAATAAATTACTGAGACCCTTTATCAGACTCTCATGGATTCACCCTACATTGAATTGTTTTGTCAAAGGATTTTGGTTTGTTGGTTGGTTTTGTTTTGTTTTTTCAGTGTGTGTGTGTGTGTGTGAGAGAGAGAGAGAGAGAAAGAGAGAGAGAGAGAGACAGAGAGACAGAGAGACAGAGAGACAGAGAGACAGAGAGAGAGATTTGGGTACATGTGTCTCTCATACACTTTTAAGGGCTTGAAATTTTCCTTTCATACTCATCCATTTGGGGAGGTTCTTGAGGAAGTACCTGTGTTGGATAGAATGTCTTCTAACACAAGGCAGAAACTTGTAACTCAAATGACATATCCAGAAGAATGCAAATGTTACCTAAGAAAAATACCACTGGTCTTCCTCACATCCAGGTCCTAGCCTAGAACATGTAATATGTGAAGAGGTGTATATGTAGGTGAAGTTCAAATATGTAGAAGGGAGATGAAGGGCAGGTAATATTAGTTAATGAGGAAGAGTAGTGTGTAATTTTAAAGAGCCGTGAGCTGTGAGCTGTACATAAAGCTTCCCCCTCTCCAGTAGTTGTCCCACCTCACCTACGTGGATTATTTGAATTAAAATTGCATTCAAAAAGAACCCACACATGTTATTCTTAGGAACAGTAGTTATGAAAGGTGGACTTTCTTTTTAATCCCATGGATTATTAGCACAATAGTGACTAGACATGACTGGTTGCTCAACACATATGTGGTTTTAACCCACTTAGAAAAAAAAGAGGTTACATTTTTTCCCTAGGGGGAGGGGTTTTGTTACCTGAAATTTTTTCTGTTTTTTTCTATCTCTTTAAAACTATATCAAATCATTGTTTTACTTAATTCACAATTCACTTTGCCATACACAAAGCAAAGCATGACTTAAAAGGAATGAAATTTGGAGAGATATAGAGAATTGTAAGAAAGAGCTGTAATCATGAAAATTCTGATCAATTCCATTGTGTACAATAATAGATATTCTTAGTTACCTTTCAATTTTTAGATTCAACTCAAAGGTGAAAGCTGGCTATTGGATCAGTTATAACGGCCATCAATTTTGACAGTGAGGAAGGGTCTATGTACTACACTGGGATGTATGTAGAAGGTAGGGGGAAGGACATACACTTGTCTGGTGCTATACTGATCTTTCACGGTAACCAACCGAGGGATCAAAGGCATTGTCTTTGGATGATAGAAAAATGTAATATGTACAAACTGTAATAATAGCAATAACAAATAATGACTAAAAACTAAGAATGAAGGACATCATTTTTAGTACTAAGACACTGGATTTAGGATGAGGCCATATGACCTAAGTCTTAATCCATCATACAGAGTTTACAAAAGTAGTGTATCAAGTGAACAAATTAAGAGATGGATAGGCTACAAAGCATAATATGCCTAGATAAATACCCCAAAGAGTGGTGTTTGCTTTGGGAAACGGTAGGGGTGGGAGCTTATCACTGCAAGGCCTTTTCATTATTCCTTATCTCAACCATGTGCTTATAAACTACTCAGTAATTAGAAATATATCACTAACATGATTCATGTTTACCTTCTGTCATCTTGATGTAGTCACATTTTGTAGCATCCATTTCCTACATACAATTGTATTACAAGCATTTTCCCAGATAGATGCAGAGCCTGTATGAGCGCTCATTTAAAGAGCTATAAAATATTTTGTACCTTTATTTCTGGCATTCATACTCTTCTTGGGTCACTCTGACTGTGAACAACTGAAAAGCAGTTGCTGAAGTTTGGGGCAACAAATTATGGTCACCAAATACGGGTTGTGGGCTTTTCCTCTGGAAAGAACTAAATCTTGTCCAGTGCCTCATTAGCACTGTGCATTAACTGAGTTCAAAGCATTTAGCAGAGCTGTGTAGAGGTCCGGTTCATGGCAGCAACCCTGGGTGGTGCCCATATACCCTAGACCCTCGATGCCTTAGGCTGCTCCAAGACAGCCTGGATAACATCACCCTAAGGCCTGCCCTCTGCACTGACACTGCCCTCAAGTTCATTGGAAATGGACTGATGGAAAGAGGAGGCTTCATTTGCAAAGCAAGAGCATGGTTTTAATTATCCTTTAGATCCATAAAAAGGCCATGGTGGTGGAGATAGATTTACGAGTTTCAATTCTCTTCTTGCCGTTTATAAACCAGTATTTATCAGGTGTGGGGCACATGGCAGTTCTGGAGAGTGCCAGACAGGGATCAAAAGCAGAGCATAAAACCCTTCCCCTTTCAACAATCCTAATCTCCACCTTCTATTCATAAATGGCTGCATTACCCTCCTGGCTCACAAGGGAGATGCATTCTGGCCCTATGCTGTCCCAGGCATCAGGCAGGAGCGAGAAGCTGGCTCCTGCATGCCAGGTTGGCTTGCCTCCCTTTGCTGCTTTCTTCAGAAGAACAGAGCAATGGCCAGGGGTACTGGATGGAGGACTTTGTATTGCCATTGTGTTAGAGTGCTTCTTCACAGGAAGGTGTTCGTGTTCCTTCCTGCTAATGCATCACATTGTGGGAAGGCTGGAGAGAGAATGACAGTTCATTCCTTAGGTGACACTGCGTTTTGTGTTCATCTGCTCCACTACATTACCAAGTCATGGACGGTTCTAATGAAAACCTAGGATCTGATTCCCTCTTTCAGGTTGGTGCTGATGCTAATTAGGAAGTAATCTTGTATATGATAGATTCCTAGACTATGGGGATAATTTTCAGTATTGTTGAGTTTGGGAACAGATTTGCTCACCAGAGGAGTTTCAGACTAACTCCCGTTCTGCCAGAAAGCATGATGCAATGTGATGATGTTGGAGCCCTAATTCTGGTGCACTGGCAGTTGAAGACAAGACCCCAAAGGAAGCAATTAAGACTGAATGATGACCTGAAAGTAGAGACTCACTAACAGGATTAACATCCTTATGAGTAAAGACTAAGAACACTCACTCCCTTCCTCCTGTCTTGGAGGACTAATGAGAAGGAAGTTGGCCTTTTACCCAGCCCCAAAGACAGCTGTTACTCCAACTGCATTTACTGGTAGATTGATCTTGGTCTGTTCTTCAGAACCATGAGAAAATGAATCTCAGTGGTCTAAGTCAGCCTACTGTTTTCTGGCAGGGCAGCCAGGACTGACGGGTAGATGAGCAGGATCTCAAATCAAAGAGTATTGATGGTTGAGGATGGGTTGAATGGCAAGAATCCCTATCCCTGAAAGTAACAGGATTGTGTCATTAGTGAAAGTTAAGAGGGGAGCTGAGAGCATGTACTGGAGATGTCTGCCAGGCCCTGCCCTCTGGGTGTGTCTCAATATCTTGGATTGGAGTTTTCTGAGCACCAGACTTGGGAAACGTGAGCACATTTACTACTAGGAAAGAACAGATTTTCCTTGATTTCTCTGCTTCCATTAGAGAAGATACTTTACTTTTCCTCTTTATGCTGCTTAGAATATATCTACTTTGCTTTAGAGAAAGTATTGCTTTGTAAAACTCTAAAGGGTAGAAACTACAATGTGTACGATGTGAGCTCCATGGAAGTGTAGAAATCGCTGCTTTTCTTCCCTATTGAGGTGTAGTCCAGCCCAGTACCTGGAACTCTGTAAGCACTAAATACCAACTTATTGAGTAATATGCCAAAAGTCTGACTCCACATGGGTTAGGGACACCTTACTCTGGACAGACTTAGTTTCAGTGTCAACCATGTTAGCTTGGAACACATCATCACTTGTTACTCAGACTATGTTAAATATCCCACAAAGTTGTGAAGACCATTTATCCTCAAAGTATGGTTAAATCCATTTAACTGTTCAGTAGTAGAATTTGGGAATAGTAAGTAGATTTAGGGTCTAAAAACTTAGAGGCCACTGGAAAAGTTAGAAACAATTACAGGTTTACCGGGTAGTTGTTAGCATAGTGATATTTTTACTGGACTGGGGCACTCCTCCAGTAAAAGTAATCTTATAAAAACTTAAATATGACCATGTTGCTCTTGCCTAAAGCACTCTATTATTTTTCTTGCTCTCCAGAAGCAATCTTTCCTGCCTTTCTATGATCTACCTACTCAGACAATGTCTGTAGCACAATCTGTCACACAGAGGTAGCTCAGCCGAGCTAGTCTTGATTGCTTATTGAAGATGCAAAGCAGTCTTTTGCCTCGGGTCTTCTTGCTTCCTAGTAACGCTTCCTGAAATTCTCTTCCCACAGAACCCTGTGATTCTGAAATAACAACTTCCCCCTTTCCTATCTCCCCACACATCCCAATGCAGGACCTCAATTCTAAATAAAGCTTTCCTCATTACAGTACATCCCTCAGTACTCAAGATCATTATCATACATAGTTCCAAATAAGTATTTGTTGAATAACTGATTGAAACCTCTAGTTTAATGGGGGGTACACCTGTGCTAATAAATACATATAGCTAGACCACAGATATCAATGAATGAATTGTCAGCTCCCATAAGTAGTGTTTTTAAAATTTTAAAATTTATTCTTCCTGTCTTTCACATTATGCCTCCCAATCCCACCTATCTTCCTCTGTATCCCAAAATAAAACAAAATGAAATTTAAGAGAAAAAGAGGGGAAATATAAAGAAACAGGAAGAAGGGGGAATCCGATCATGGAAGCTGCAGTGTAACATAATGAAGCATGTGAAACACGCAGTAAATCCCTTTATTCACATACTTTTACATGCAGGCATTTATCAAGAAGAAACACTGGTCTGGTTCTAAGCTCCTGGTCTCTGCTGCACTATTCATGCTGGGTCCTCCTGGGATCTTCCTGGAGAACCCATTGCTGCTCTGTGTCGGGAAAACCCTGCAGCCCTGGGTCCACAGGACTGACACCCCTCCTCATGCTCCAGCAGGTCATAGGTGGGGTGGATGTTGGAGTGGGCCAACACATAGCCCTGTTTCTGGGACTGGGTACTTGCAGTTGAGCCTACCAGTGCTCCCCTGTCTTCTTCACCAGGGTGGGCTTCACAGCCTTGCCCTGGCTAGTTCACCCCTTGCAGTGATGAGCAAGGGGCAGGCCCAGTCCTCCACTCTCAGGATAGTTCTCCCACAACTACACTTTCAGGGCCAGCTCTACTGTGTTGCCCAAGGGAGGTGTAGGGGCCGCTCTACTCAGTGATGCAGCTGATGATGGATGGGGCAATTCTCCTGTTCTTACCAACTCAGGGCTAGCTATCCCATCTGCCTTCGTGTTGAGGGGGGTATCTCTCCCCAGCCCATGCCACCTCAAGAGAGGTGAATAATGAGGATAGCTCTCCCATGCTCACAATTTCAGGGCTGGCTCAACCACACCTCCATCAATGGGGTTGGCTCTATTGTGCTGCCTAGGAAAAGTTGCATAGTACTCTTACACATGGTCCATAGGCAGGTGTTATTATAAAAAATGGAACCCTTGAGCATTTAGGAAGAAGCAACATGCTTAAATTAGTCTAATTTGTTATATCCTACAACTCAACAACATCAGAATCGAGCAGCTTAGATACAAAATGAGTCAAGTGCGATTATGGACATGTCTCTATAGAAGTTCTGTAGAAGAGGAGCAACAAATATTATTGAGGATTTAGAGACATTGAAGCCACCAGGCCCTGTTGGCAGCAAAGAGAAATGGAGGATCAGATGTGGAAGACAGAATGGTGGTTACTCAAAACAAAGCAAAAAATCTAGAATGGCTAGAGCATCCAGGTATCTACTTCTAAGTATGGAGACCAAAGAATGAAAAGTGGGACTGTCATTTGCACCTATGTTAATAGCCTTAATAGCAGTGTTGTTCATGGTACCTGAAAAGTTGAGGCAACCCAAACACTCATTGAACCATAAATGTACAAGTAAAATGTAGTCCACACACAATAAAATATTACTTAACCTTAAAAAGGAAGGAAACTGGCACACGGTTGACTGTGGATGCACCTTGAAGACATTATGTCAAGTAAATATGCCAGTCACTAAAGAAGAAGCCCAATATGATTCCACTGGAGAAGTCAGATTCGCAGAAGGAGAAAATGGAATGGCAGTTTCCCAGGGAAATGCAAGGAGGAAATGTGGAGCTGTGTAATTGGTTCAGAGGCTCAGCTTAGGAGGATTAGATGTTTTGTGTGGTGACAATGGCACAGCAACGTGAGAGCATCTAATGTCTTGGAACTGTACATTTAAAATGGGTTAAGTTGGTAAATAAATGTCGTGTGTATTCTATCACAACTTCAATAATCATGTTCAGCTAAAATACATAAACCAGAAAAATTTACTCAAAGGACCTTTTTTCTTCAGTCACTAGCTATAAGAGGAATGTCTTAAGATAGCAGGTGAAGCATTTGAAGGCAGTCATAAGTGGATGAACCTGAAATTCCCAAACCATCTCCCTGTAACCCCCATCAATCTTCTTTACTTGCTGCCCTGTTGTCTTTCTTCCATGATCTAGATTCCAAAACACTCTTCTCTGTCATCCAACTTGGGAATACAGAGGACCACCCAGGTGGCTAGCAGTGGTCCCTGTTAGCAAGCTGTGTTCTCATTCAGTGGAAATGAAATGAACCTGGAGGTGTTATGATAGACTTTGGAAAAGTGAATAAAAATCTTACCTTTCTTGTTTTCCAAAGCATTTTCTAGATCAATGAATACAGCTGACTTTCCAGAACATGGTATAGTGTATAGAAATTTTGCAAATGGTTTTTGAGCACAGTTCTGTTTTCCATCCCTATGTAGTTTTCCATGGGTGTTTCACTAGGAAGATTGTTATCTCTGCTGCCTTTGGTGGGTTCCAGCAGTTCTTGAGTTTTTGTGGGTGTGGCCCAGAACAGGATTTCCTTCTGATCTAGGCTAGGGGCCTCTTTAGCTCTTGGAAAGTACGGTCCTGAAATTTCCTTGAGAAAGTGGAGAGGTGTTTTTGTTATTGTGTTGTTTTGTTTTCGTTGTTAATGCAAGACCTTGCTATCTGTATATATACGGGACACTACCACTTAAAGTGGACTGTCCACCTTTCTGAAGGACTCAGACTCAAGTTCCTTCATCTCACTTCAGTATTACAAATCATGCTTTGACTTTTTTCAAGGTTCTGAAAGCACATAAGTTTACATATATACATATATATGTATCCACAGTTTTCTTTCAAAATCCAAAGTTGCCAGATGTCTTTTGTAACTAGGGATATTGTGAATCTTAAAATATAGTATAAGTTTATAGTATAAGTTTTATGTTATTATATCATAACCTGTCAGGATCTAGAGACATATCCTTTAGATAAAAGTATCTATATTTGATTAATAGTCATAATCATTAGGACTATAGCTAAATAGTCATAGTGAACAGAACTTTAACTAAAGGCTATAAGTAAACCTGTATAAATCTATATCAGGTTTTGTTGCCAAAGAAGTTTAGTTAGTCATTAAAAATATCTGAGTTTCAGAGCATTTTGAACTTTAAAAAGGTGGCTATAAGACAGCAGGCACACCAGTGGGAAAGTGGGTTTCTTGAATCTTACAGGGATTTTACTAATACAAGGATCTTGTCCTACTTCTGAATGCTCTGACCTGTGGAGAAAAAGAAGAAATTTTTGTACATGGAGGACTCTTAGGGGGAAAGGGAGGGAGTAACGACTCCTTAATCTACCCTCCGTAAGCGAGGCTGCATGACGGCTGGTATCTGACTGTATGACTTCCAGTGACTCCCACCCTCTTGGTGTTCTAGCCTCCTCATCTTCAACAGAAGGATTGGGTAGTCAGCCTATGGTCACTTCGTTCTTCTAATCAAATCAGACTAACAGCTTAACCGCCGTTGGTGTGTCTGGTTGGCAACAAGCAAACAATAGACAACATAAGGGCAAGGGGAACCCTTCCTCTTCTCCCTTACCCCTGCTCCAAAGAAGCCTTCAAGGACAGTGCTACCCTGAAAGACATCCATGGAAATACATTTCCTTCACTCTTATCGGCAAGGATGCTTTACTCCCAGCATATTGAATTAGATACATAAACATAGTAAATGTGAGTTCATTTAGATCGAGTAAGTCAGATTTACAATCCCCAATGAAATACCAACAGAGGGATTAACATGGACTTTGAAGTCATTCAGATACATAATTCCCAAAAATATTTGTTAAAAATCCAGACATGAAACTTTACTCTTCTGTTTGTTTATTTTTCTCTTTGGAGTCTAAATATCTCCCAAACACATAGTTCCGAACAAGCAAAAAGCAGCAGGAGGATTGAAAAAAAGCAATAGAGGCTGAATTTCAGTCCCATAGACCTTAGCAAGAAGCAAAAATAAACCCTCTAAACACGACTCCTTTTGCACAGTTCCCAGGCAGATTCTCCCCTTCCCTAGTCTAGGTTTTGTTCTGCCTCTGCTGATCTGCTGATGTTGCAACCAGTGACTCCCACGTTAACCAAAGATTCCCAGGATTCTGCCTCCCTTTCCCTTCCATGAGAGCTACCTACAAAAACAGGTATTGGAATAGAAACTGTCTGTTAATTTTTTGCATTATCCTAGTTTAAGGAAAGTATAACAGATATATCAGTAGAACTTTAATTGGCCCAAGCTTCCCCTTCATCTAAGGGTAGTGATCCATCTGTTGCTAGAGCTAGCTGTAACGGGGCTATCAGGAACGGTAGGTCTGAGATCAGAACTCCTTTTTCCCAATCCCCCATGTGGACTGCCATTCCAAATTAAAAAGATCATTTCCTATCTAAGTCATTGTTGCAATGAAGCCTGGTTATGGCATGGAGCGAGAGTTTCCACTGTAATATGTGCTTCATGTAGCTGAGGCTTACCAAGTTCAGCACCTGAGAAAAATTAAGAGGAGGATTGAAAATCATATCCAGCTGGGGAGTTAGCATGTGTCAAACAGGGTTTGGCTGTTAAAGAGTTTTAAGTGCGTGACTGGTACACCTCAGGGCAAGGCCCACTCTTCCAGGAGAATCTGGTCTTGCTTTTCTTTCTTCTCTCCTCTAATCAGTCCCATTCAGTTTTCAATTCTCTTTCTCACTTTGTGAAGTGCCAGACAAATTACTGGCATCCTCTATGAGCCTCTGGTTTCTTTTCGGTTTCTATATCCCACCTCCAGCTTGAGAAGATTTCAGGGGAAAATCTTACTTCAAATCCATTTAATAAGAATCTAGGAACATGGGACAGAAAGTTTTAGGTGACTTTTACCACTCTCCGTCCTCTGTGTTCTGAGCTCTCTTCTGAAATGTGTATATTGTATTAATGTTTTATGTTTATTGTTCTTCCAAAAATTCTTTTACTCTCTGGCTTCAACATGATGGCTTCTGAACGGTGGAAGAAAGCAGAAGGCTAGGACTACAGATGCAGACTTTCTGACAGTCTTGCAAAACCACCATACCTTATCGAACAGACCATTATAATGTTCAATAAACACTTGAAACATTTCTTCTTTGAGAATTTCATAACAAGTATGAATTGAAATATTGTCATAGCCACAACACATCTCCCTTCAAACTTCATCCCATCTTCTTTTAAAGACCCCATCAAATTCAATTAGTATTGTCTGTATGTGTGTGAGTATGGGGCTACCCGTTAGAGCGTTGACAACCTGCTAGTGGTCCCGCCCCCAAAGAAAAACCATTCTCCTCTCCTCAGTAACACTAAACTCCAATAGCTCCTCTTCCTCCTCCTTTTTTGGTGAGACATCATGAGTTCTTCCACCCACTCTGGAAGTTTGACTGGCTCGGTTTTGTGCAGGTCTTGAGCAGTAACCACAGCAGTAATTCCAACAGTTGTGGTAGGCCCGGCAAACAGTCTTTTATATTCTTCTCCATCCTCCAGCTCTTATATCCTTTCTGTTTCCTTCCACAATGTTTCTTGAGCCTCAGTTTGTGTGAGGGGATCGCGTACTGAAATGCGTGGAGAGGGCTGCTCAATGTGCCTCAGTTTGCTTGCTACAGTGTCCAGACTCAGCCTGCTACCCAGGGGGCCTCGTCTGTATTTTCTCCAGCCTTTGCTGGGATCTCCTCTGATCTGTGTGTCTCACCTGAAGTCAACAGAGATCTCAGCTTAATGTGTAGGTAAGTCACTCTTTCCATATCAAACTCATTAGCATGTTCAGATATAAGAAGTGTGGGAGAACCAATTCTTTGGAGACTTGAAACTAGGAAAGATATTGGAGTTGGTGCCACTGGGAGCAGTTGATTCACCAGCCTGTTGTGACTTGTCCTTGATGTGGGTGTGGTCATTCCAGAGAGATGGCAGCAGTCTTCTAGTGTTAAATCAGGAGTATTAGTATCAAAAGTGGTCAACTGTGCAGGAAATAGCTGAACTGAATTGTCTAGAGGAAGAAGTGGGAAGGAAGAATGCTCTGCATGATGATTTTGTTACTTGCTATAAGTCTAAATCCACAGTCATTGTGTTATTGTGGCATGACACTTTGAAGGGAGTGATAATCCCCTTTGGCAGAGATAAGTTCCAAGTGAATGCAGGCACCTTGAATAAATCGTAAATAGTATTATTTTCATACTCAAGCAAGTTAGCGATGTGTGCTTCCTAGGTCAAATGCTTGTTCCCAGTGACCACACGCCCTAGAGACTGCAGTGCTATCATGTGGTCACGAGAGCATGCAAAGCTCCATATGCCTGCTTAAGAAGCATCAGCATGTACTGGAAAATAAACAGTTACTTTAAGAAGGTAGTTCTCAAGGGCAACGACTTAGGATCTGTTGGGAGTGTGACTTTCTGGGGAATTAAAAATGATTGTTCTTTGAGATGGTTTGTCTTTTTCATTCCAGATTTTCTCCTGGACTTAACGCAAAACCAGAAACAATGCCTGCTTTTGTGCTGGCTCCCTTTGTAGAAGGAAATAGTCACTCACAGTGAAAACTGCTAGTTTCATATTAGTATATCCAGGTTTCTCAGCTGAAAGACAGAAGACAAAAAAGAAACTGGAGAGGCTATTCTCTCAATCCTCCCATAGACGGTACCCAATTAACACTGTTTTTGACGGAAAGGAGACAGGTTTATCACATACAGTGGGTGGCTTTGAGTGTTGAAACTAAATTTCCTTTAGAGAACCCTGGTTGAAAGAGTCTTATTCAGATGTTTTAAATGGAAAGCCCATAAAAATAGCACCCAAAATGTTTAGTTTTTTCCTCCATTCACAGAATCAAGTAAAGCTTTGAAAGCACACCCATTCAAAACTAAATGAAGTTTTTTTTTTACTTTTTGAGTAATACATAAGCAGTTAAAAATGCTCTACATGTTAAACAAAATTAAATGCTTCAAAAATAATTATATAAATGGACAGTTACATGTATATCATAGTGTAAACATCTCTTAATAAGTGAAGACATTGGTAGATTAAAACCCATATGGAACTCAACTGAGAAATTCGTTATTTAAAATTTTCCAATTAAACAAACACACCATACCCTATTTAATAAAAATTTTACTGAGGACGACATTTATAATTTTTAAAGTAGATTTAGCTGAAACAACAAACCTGATTCTAACTATAACATGGCAATAAATGAGGGTTATCTATGCTTTGATTCATCAATTGAATTTTGCAAATGTTAAAACTTCACATAAATTGATCTAAATGCCCTATGAAATTTACTTGTAAGTTCTTTTTTCAATTGCAGTTAGTTGAGATCATCTGAGAAACTTTCACTAGTTTTTGATGATTGGAATTCTAGCACATTAAATCCTTCAGAGAATTTAGAAAATTACAGTCATGAGGAGATAGTAATTGTAAGTAGAAAAAAATCTTTTTTTAATTAATTTTTTTCATTTTATATACCAACCCAAGTTCCCCCTTCCTCCCTTCTCTTGCCCCCTTCCTCTTCCCCACTCTCCGTCTACTCCCTAAAAATAATGTGGCCTCCTTGGGGGCTCAACAAAGTCTGACATACCAAGTTGAGGCAGAACGAACCCTGCCCCTGTATCAAGACTGAGCAAGGTATACCACCACAGGGAATGGACTCAAAACAGTCAGTTCATGCCCCTGGGATAAGTCCTCAGCCCACTGCTAGCACCTCCCCAACAGACAGAGCCACATAACTGCCACCCACATTCAGAGGGCTTAGTTCTGCCCCATGCATGTTCCCCAGCTGTCCCACGAGCTCCCATTAGCTTGGGTCAGTTGTCTCTGTGGTTTTGCCAATCATGTATGCTGACCCCTTACCCTTACTCATACGATCCCTCCTTGTTCTCTTCAACTGACTACAGGAGCTCTTGAATTTAAACTGAGGAGAAGAACTCATCTGGGATAGAAAACAGAGATACCTGCTCACTGGAGACCAGGAGCTAAAATAGAGACCTTTCATTCTGAAACTCAGTGAAGCTTGAAACACACTAACATGTGGTAAGATTGTTTTATGAATTACATTAAAAATTATTTATTTTAATTTTCATAAAATATACCTTGATAATATTCTTTTCTCTCCCCTATGTCCTCCTAGACCCTCTTCCCTCCCCCTCAATTTCATGTTCTTTTTCTCAGAACAAAAGTGAACACAATCTCTTCTCAAAACAAAACAAAACAAAAACCTAAATGACACACATGCACACAATTCTTTCTGTGTTGGTTAACTACTCCTGTGCATGAGGCCTGCTCTGGAGTGCTGTTGATAAACCTAGCACCACACAGTTGAAGAAAACCAATTTTCCCTCTCCCAGTAGTCATCAGCTGGAAATAGTTTTTTTGTTTTGTTTTGTTTGTGCTTAGGGATGGGACTTTGTGTCCCATTCCCCTTCTTACTGTTGGGGTTTAGTCTGGCTTGAACCTTTATAGGATTTGTGTGTACTGTCACAGTCTCTTGTGAGTTAATATGGGCATCAGCCCTGTTGTGTCCAGAAGACATTGGACCCTTGGACTCATCCACCTGGTAAGATTCTTTTGATGAAACTTTCATCCTACATTTATTTTTATTTTATTTGCTGTTCTGAGGATCAAATCCTGGGCCTTGAACATCATCTACTTTTAGTTGAATCTATTTATATTTCCTGCCAGAATGAAATAGAATTGAGATAACTGACAATTTTGGAACAATTGTGGTTTGTGAAACACTTTAACATTCCAAGTAGAAATATGTTAGCTGAAGAGTTTGGCCTTATAAAAACATTTGTCAAATAAAGTAATTTGAATGGAAAGCAAAAGGCAGAACCTTTCAAGATATCTGAACTGAAATTCTTGCACATTTCATTACAAATACTTAAAGTTAAGCACATGAATTATTGGCAGAGTTTTCTCTGACTTAACCCAAGACTCTCCCAAGATAATGCTTTAGGGAGACTGTAGCCACGATCTTACCCACTCCCTTTGCATGATGGGATTGCTCTTTGGAGTCACTGGTTCTCTGACATCTTTATATACCAAACATTCTCATCTGGGCATGAGAAAAACAACAAAATAATAAAGAAGTAATTTCACCCAACCTGGACATGGATAACATGTCCCTTTTAGAGTTTTTCCTTACATTTTGAAGAAGAGGAACACAGGAAGAAAAAAGCTGGTAATGACTCACAACTTTATTGAAATCTCTTATTATAAAAGTGAGTACTAAGAGTAGTTGAGTCAACCTTCACAACTGCACCTAGAAGACCTGAGTATTTTTATCCTGCAGGAGAAAGTGGTTTGGGATAGTTATTCACTCCAAGACCTCAGACCTTTCACTTCTTGGAAGGAAGGAAGGAAGGAATAAAGAAAGATAGATAGAAAGAAGTACTTTTGTTAGGTGAGAACTGAGGTTCCTTCTGACATGTGAATTTAAGACCCTAGTAGCTGAAGGTCTAGCCATTGATCCCAACGGGCAGAGTCAGGGTGTAGAAAGGCATGCAAAGGAACTGTCCAGGGTGCTTAGAAGCACAAGGTCCATTCACTCTCTATTGTGATCAGAGGTCACAGTATACATACACCCATCCACTACACTTCCAGCATTTATACTATGTTAAATGTACAGTGAATTGTTCTACCAATACTTATATATATATAATTGAACATGAGATCAATTTGGGTCTAACTCTAGCTGACCACTAACTGAGCACACAATCCTAACTCTCTCTCCCCTCCCCCCATGCTCCCAATTAGCTCAGGAGATTTTGTCCCTTTCCCCTTCTCTGGGGGACCATGCATGTCTCCCTTAAGGTCCTCCTTGTTTCCTAGCTTCTCTCAAGAGGAGGGGAGAGGAGGACAGGAAGGAGCAGGAAGATTAAGTCGGGGGAAGAATAGAGAAGAGCAATAAAACAGATACTATAATAGAGGGAACCACTATAGTTTTAAAGAGAAATCTGGCACTAGGGAAATTTCCAGAGATCTACAAGGATGATCCCAACTAACAATCTAAGCAATAGCAGAGAGGCTCAATGTCAAAAATACTTTCAAGAACGGATTTTAATTAGTTGTTGATAGTTAGTGTCAAATTTAAACTTTGACAACCATTTCAGTGAAGTTGGAGGTTTCTTTCCCACCTGGTCCTACAGTTACTTTGCCCCAAATAAACACACAATGACTTATATTATGTATAAAAAGTTTGACCGATGGCTCAGGCCTCTTATTGGCTAGCTCTGTGTTAACTATTACCCCATTTCTATTAATTTATGTATTGCCACAAAGTTATGGATTACCCATAATCTAGCATATTCCTCTGTGGGCTACACAGAGTCTCCTTGTAGCCTCTCTCTGCCTTCCTCTCCCCAGACATCCCCTGCTTTTGTATCCCCACCTAGCTTCCTGCCTGGCTACTGGGCAGTCAGTGTTTTATTCATCAACCAATAAGAGAAACATATATGCAGAAGGAAATCTCCCATCATCTCCTCTTTTCTGTCTAAATAAATGAAAGTTTTTAACTTTAACATAGCAAAATTATATATGACAAAACAGTTATCAATCAAGGACTACCATTAATATTGACTCCATTAACATTTAGCAAAATTTAAAGAAAATATTCTACCTTCTATCTTTGTAAGTCTAAAGTCTTATATGCAGCTTATCTTTTATCATAACTAATGAAAACCATAACCATAACCATCTGTCTTCAACCATCAAAGACCCCAGGAGGATAATATGTAAACTCTAGAACTGACAGAGACATCTCACTGCCTGGACAGTCACCCAAAGTTCTTCTGTAATGTTGGGGCATCCATCTTCAGCCTTCAGGCCTAGAGTGTCTGGCAAACTTCTCAGTGAAGCAGAAAATTTGAAACTGTCCTTCCTGTATTGCTAGTTTGTCAGCCATTTTATTCTGTGTCCTGCTGAACATCCATGAAGGACTGTCCCATCTTTTTGTTGTTATTGTTGTTGTTTATAAATAGACTTTATTTTTTCCTTTTATTTATTTTTTATGTCTTTATTTAAATTAGAAACATGCATGCTTCAAATGTCAATCCCAGCTCCCTCTCTCATCCCTACTCCCTTGTCCCTCCACCAGCCCCCCCCAGCCCAATCTCCACATCATTCCCCAGGGAGAGTGAGGCCCTCCTTGGGGGATCTTCAGAGTCTGTCCTTTAGTCCAGGGAAGGACCTAGGCCCTTCCCCCTGTGTCCAGGCTGAGAGAGTGTCCCTCCATGTAGAATGGGCTCCCAAAGTTCATTTGTACGCAGTGACAGTAAGCTAAGTGATTCTCATATCCTAGTTATTTTGGTGACTATTTAGTAATGTGTATCTAAGTGCATTTATTTTCCATAAACATGTTAATATTTTTATCTTCGTATGCATTTCTTTTAATGGCTTTTAACCTTGTGAGAGTCTTTCAAAGGTGATCATGTTATTGCCAGGCTAACTGATAACACATGGAATAGCCCTACAGAGCTGAAATCTTTTGTACCCTTGTATCTTACACTCTCAGAACTCATGCCAAAGAACTGGGTTGTTTACAGGCAAAGTATACCCATTCGAACTCACCTCAATATTTTTCTTCATAGATTGTATACTCAGAACAATTACTATAGGTATAAAACTCTAATTGGTTATAATACTAAACCAGTGAAAAATGTTCAAACCCAAGTATTGTAGTTAGTTTTTTCCTAAAACATGTATATAAGCAGCAATCCTGATGCTGGACAGCTTGTCAGTGGATCTTGGCAAGAGTTGTGACTGAATCGTTGTGAATTCATTTCCACCGTCAGCAAAGTACAGAACATGTGCCCCACCCAGAAGGTGGTTCACTGCCATGTGCACACGTAAAATAGGACATATATAAAAAATGTCCTCTGCTTCAGAAAGCTACATCTTAGGAGCCTACACGTTTTATGCCACATTTATCAATTAGTTTTAGCTGATAATCAAGCACAGCATTTAACTAGGGGACAGATTCTGTGGACTTCTGGAATGACACTAAAGAATTTGGTAAAGGAAAATGTTAGTTATATCTAATTCTTCACTGTATAAAGCTTTATATTTTCATTCTAAAAGTTTAATAATTGCTATAGATAGCTTATGATTTCTGTAAAAGTATTTTATTTTTAAATGACTATATAAAATCTTTGTGAGCTGAATTGTTATTGAATGCATTTATTAGCATTTATGTAATTTCATTCTTAAAGAAATTATTACTTATGTAAATTGAGCTGAGATTACTGTGTATATTTTTACAGTGTCAAACTTGGTAGTAATCATATGATTTTAAGTAAGAATGAATTCAGATAAGATGGTTTATACTTAAGTAGTTAAAATTCAAATTAATGGAAAAATTGCCAGTAAAATTAATGACTTTATTTTCTATAGGTTCCAGAAAAAAACATGTTCTAATACTACCAAAAATAAAGTATTTTATTTACAAAAAATAGCAGAGAGGCTACCTTAAATGCCCTTCTCTGATAATGAGTTCAATGACTACCTTATATGCCATCCTAGAACCTTTATCAAGTAGCTGATGGAAGTAGAAGCATGAGTTCGAGGCTGGGCTGGACCGATAGCCTCCAAAACAATACGGAGAAACCCTGTCTCGAAAAACCAAAAAAAAAAAAAAAAAAAAAAAAAAAGGAAGTAGAAGCAAACACCCACAGCTAAACACTGAGGAGAACTTCTAGAATCCAGTTGCTGAGAGTGAAAAATATAACAACAAATGTTGATAGAAATATTAGCAAAGTGGAAAAAAATATTAGCAAAGTGGAACCATATTTACTGGGAATGTGAACTGGTATACCACTATGGAAACTACCACAGAGGTTATTCAAAAAACTAAAATACAAAGTATATTTTAGTTTATATATTTATATATGTAAAGTATATATGTGACGCATATATACTACAACTAGGACTATAGCTGAGGGAATCTAAGTCAGCATACTGCAGAGACACCTGTACACCATGTTTACAGTGTTGTTCATCAGTCATTGTTCAATTTATGGAATCAACCTAGGAAT